AACCAAATGCTCCATACATATTGCCATTGTGCACCTCCTAGAGATACGAATTGATCTGACACATATATTTTTTTTTTTTAAAAACATATAAACTCTCATTTGTTTATATGGTTGAGATTTAATGAGGTCAGGTTTACAGTATTAGAATTTTTGACATGCTGAAGGGGCAATATACTCTTTACATTAATTTTTAAATTACCAAGCTAATTTGTTTATTGTTTAACGCTGAGTCAGCAATTTTTCAGCTTGTTTCGGCGGACTGTCAATGTGTGTGTAATCGGTTTTTAATTTTTTTCATCCTGGCGGTCATGAGTTGAACAAATTTGAAACTAGTACAACAACCTGAGGATCTTCTACGTGCAAAGTGGGTTGTTATCAATTACCCATTTGCTTTGTTTTTCAAGAAGATTTTTAAAGAATTTTCCCATTATTTCTATAGTAAAACTGGAATAGCATTGTGGCATAACCCATACAAAGTCTTCGATGATTTGACAAACTTGTTATATTTTATGGTATGCTTAGGATGCTTCTATGAAATATGATCAATAATTACACTTAGTTGATTTTAGGTGGATTTCTCAAAGACATTATACGTGTCAAATTGCATGTTAATTTAAAAACTATATTTTTTTGGTTTAACAATTTTTTAGGGGTCAGAAAACAATACTTTTCTACATTATTTAATGGACTGTGTATACATATATATATATAAAGATAATTATGTTTTATTTTAAAAACAACTTAGATTTTAGTTGAAGTTTTTAAAATTTCGAGTCAATATTACCTTTAGAATCGCCATTCAAGATAATTAACACATTTTAAATTTAAACGCCTAAATGTTTCCCCTAAGTTTCATCTTTCCTGGCATAGTGGTTCTTGAGAAGATTTTAAAACATACCAATTCCCAATTATCTCCCCTTGAATGAGGGCGTGGCATTTCATTTGAAGGTCAACTTGACCTACTTTTTGTGACACACCCTCTACTTTCAAGATGTTTGGTTGAAATTGATAATCCTAGGCCTAGAAGTATTAAAGTTATGAGTTGACAAAAGAACAGACGGACAGCTAGACAGACGGACGCAAGCCAAAATGTGATCAGAAAAGCTCACTTGAGCCTTTGGCAGAAGGTGAGCTAAAAAATTGGATACAGATAATGCCCCAAATTATGTATATGTGCATGCTAAACAAATAACAGGGGTATCTTAAATTATTTCTTTCCCAAAATTAGAATTTTATATTAAAGTCCAAGAGGGGGGTCATAGGTCACAAAAATATGGTGCACTTTTACCAGTTGAATAGCTCTCAATAGTACATATCAACATATAAGATTTGATAAAAATATCTGTGTGTGTCTCTTAGCTTAACACTTTTTTTAAGAAAAGAAACTATACACAACCTGAGGATGCTTCCATATAAATATGATCAATTATATGGCTTTGTTTTTCTTGAAAGAAGATTTTTAAAGAATTTTCCTATGTATTTCTATGTAAAACTTTGGTCGGTCATTGTGGCCCCACCCTATCCCCGGGGGGTCATGATTTGAACAAACTTGAATCTACACTACCTTAGGATGCTTCCATATATAAATATGATCAATTATGGCTTAGTTGTTCTTGAGGAGAAGATAATTTTAAAGAATTTACCTTTTCATTTCCATGTTAATTTACAAAACTTTGGCAGGCCAGTTGTGGTCCCGCCCTTCCCCCAGGGGTCATGATTTAAACAAACTTGAATCTACACAATAAATGTACCTGAGGATGCTTCCATATATATATATATATGATCAATTATGGCTTTGCTATTCTTGAGAGAAGATTTTAGAATTTTCCTATTTACTTCTATGTAAAACTTTGGTCAACCATTGTGGCCCAGCCCTAACCCCGGGGGTCAAGATTTGAATAAATTTGAATCTACAATACCTGAGGATGTTTCCCCTAAGTTTCATCTTTCCTGGCATAGTGGTTCTTGAGAAGATTTTTAAAACATACCACAAAATTTTCATTAATTCCCAATTATCTCCCCTTGAATGAGGGCGTGGCATTTCATTTGAACAAACTTGAATTCCCTTTACCCAAGGATACTTTTTTGCAAGTTTGGTTGAAATTGGCCCAGCGGTTCTTGAGAAGAAGATGGAAATGTGAAAAGTTGACAGTGAGACAGACGGACAGCTAGACAGACGGACGCAGGACAAAATGTGATCAGAAAAGCTCACTTGAGCCTTTGGCTCAGGTGAGCTAAAAAATTGGATACAGATAATAAATTCTCACCAAATTATGTATATGTGCATGCTAAACAAATACCAGGGGTATCTTAAATTATTTCTGTAAAACTTAGCAAAATACAAATTAAAGAAGAGGGGGGTCAAGGTCACAGGAATATGCAAGGCGAAGTTTTTGATGCAGTTGAATAGCTCTCAATAGTACATATCAACATATAAGATTTGATAAAAATATCTTGAATGATTTAATGAAACTTAGCTTAACACTTTTTTTAAGAAAAGGGAGGTGAAAGGAGAGGTTGGGGTCAAAATGTTGTTGCGGTTGAAAAGCTGACATCAGTATGAATATACTTTTAACAAATGAATTTTAATAAAAACATAATTAATTGTGTATTTAAAACTTAGATAAAAACTGATTTTAAAAAAGTGAGATCAAGGTCAAAGGAAATGTCAAGGTCAAAACAAAATGATGCATTAATAGCTCTCAGCAGTATGTATCAGCATATGAAGTTTGATAAATAGATCTTGAATTGTTTATTCAAAACTGATCTAGACATTAATTTTAGAAAAGTGAGGTCAAGGTCACATGAAAGGTCAAGGTAAAAAAGAGTTAAGCATTGTAAAGCTTACATTAGTATATATACATATATATCATCATGTGAATCTTTACATGTATATTAAACTACTGTATATACTTGTATATAAGTCGGGGTTTTTTTTGGAGTAAATATCTGGTCCAAAACTCTGTGTCCGACTTATATATAGGCGAGCTATAAAAAGAATGGTATAACATAAGTCAGTGCATCTGAAATACAGCATCTTGAGTACCACAAACTTATAGGCGGACCGACTTACAGGCGAGTATATACGGTAAACACTAATTTAAACATGTTAAAAGAAAAGTTAAGTGAAGGTCAAAGGATTGATTGATTAATTGTATACTGTTTAAGTCCCTCTCCTGAATATTTCACTGATATGGAGATGTCACCATTGTCGGTGAAGGGCTGCAAATTTGGGCCTATGCTTGGCACTCAGGGCCATTGAGCAGGGAGGGATCTTTATCGTGCCACACCTGCTGTGACACGGGGCCTCGGTTTATATGGTCTCATCCGAAGGACCGCCCCATTTAGTCGCCTTTTATGACAAGCAAGGGGGTACTGAGGACCTATTCTGATCCGGATCCCCATGGAATGAAGATCAAAGTCAAGGGAAAAGTCAAGGGAAAAAAAATGTTGCTGCAGTTGGATAGTTTACATCAGTATGCATCAACATATGAATTTTGATCAGACCATCTTGAATAGAATCTTTTAAACTGAGCTAAAAGCCAGGTTAAGGTCAAAAGAAGGTCAAGGTCAAGAAATGTTGATGCAGTTGCAGAGTTCTCCTCAATATTTATCATAACTTGCCTATACAATGAAGTCAAAAACGTTGATAAAAATTTCTATAAATAGTTTCTTGGAATTAAATTATAAGAGAAGCCCGATCCGGAAAGCTTTGCGGTTTACAGATGGAAGGTTGGCTTCATTCCTTAAATGAAGTTTGATAAATTTTGATAAATAGATTTAAGTTTCTTTGAGCCCGATGAAAAGACAGATGGAAGGTTGGAGGACGGACATGATAAAAACTATGTATAGTTTTGTATACATGTATTCCTAATCATGCTTGGCATAAAAAAACTTGAATCTACATAATATATGTATGAGGATGTTTCCATATCAAGATTATACAACCACATTCAAAGAATTGTGGTCCTCTGCTTTCTGTGTTTTAGTGAATGGGATGCCATAATTTATGGCAGATTGTGTGACAAATATGCACCCCTATCATATGTCAATTTTTGAAAATTAGATCAAAGGGGAAATTTAAATTCATAGCATACTCGGAAATATTTTGTTGCCGGTAATGTGCTTGTCAAATATTAAAGTCTTATATCCTTTCAATCAAAAGTTATGAGGATATATATTATTTTTGATAGGTAGGTTAAACTTTAAGGTCAAGGTCACAGAGTCAAAAGTCATGATATATATGTATTTAGCAAATCTTTTCAAATGTAATATACAATGTGTAATTTGAATGCCCCATCTTTTCTCTTTCAAAATAATCAATTTATTAAAACAAAGCTCCAGATAATTTTTTACCTCAAAGTGTATTTACTCCCTGATTTTCAAATCATTTAATGCAGCAAAATGATTGAAGAGTATTTTTTATGTAGAAATGTTTTGACCTCTATTTTGAGCTTGTTATCGAAGTGTCCGGTACCAATGAAAAATAATTACGGACAAGTGAATATTGCTGGGCACTTGTCCGATCAAGTGATTTTTTCATGTAAAGAAGTCTTTGAATAATAATAAAAAAACAACTATTGATTTAATTGATAAGTTTATCGAATACAAAGTGTAGAACATAAACCCTGCTTTCAATATCAATCGCTATGTAAGTTGAAGTTTACACTTGATCGATTATATTCAGAATTGCATCCATACCATTGCATCCCGTACCATATACATTCTATATCTCATGTCAGCTCATGAGACTCACATGAGAATCAAGTAAGAATTGCATGCAAATAGCATTGGATCGGCTCATGTGCAGATTGTTAGTCTTTGTTAGGGATGAAAATACTAACCAAAATGCACATGTGCAAAATTATGCTCACCTCAATATGAGCAAAAGTCTATTCAATTTGCTCACCTAACACAGCCTAATTTGAAATATAGCATTGGTAGTGATTTTTCTAAGTTCAGTTTTCTAAATTAATATACATGTATAAGTTTGAAATTTATTTAAATCATCAAGACGAGACTAAAATTGGATTTATTTGATTGGTTGTCAGGGGGAAGAATCAATCAAAGAGGTCGAATCAGGTTTAGAAAAGGGGGACGTGTTCGAATTCCAGGGAATGATGAAACCAGATGCAAACAGGTACGTCCAATCACTCGGAGCTCCTCGGGTGGCTCCTACCTCGCTTGGAGCTTAGCGGGCTCAGCCGAGGATTGCCAATTGATGTTCAATAAAACTTTACCAAATTCACAAAGATCCTTTTATATGATCATTTTAATATATTAGTTCATGTGTGTTTCTTAAAAATTCAATTATAGATTCGACATAAACTTTGTAAATGGAAATGGAGACATTGCGTTTCACTTTAATCCCCGGAGAAATGAAGAAGAGGTCGTCATGAACAACTGCGAAGATGGCGATTGGCAGAGCGAGGAAAGAACGCCTCTACATCCAGTGTTTCAAACAGAGAAGCCATTTGAAGTCAAGATAGAGACCAAGAAAAAGAAATTCAAGGTAAAATCACAAATGGCGTTTTCCCTGAAAAATGCTTTGCTTTAACCCCAAGATAACAGCTCTCAATATGTAAAATTTTCCAATTATTTTCTTTGTTACTTGAACAACAGAATGAACAAATTCAGGACTATTTTCATCAGATCTTTTACATTCTATTGCAGGTTTTCATCAACGGAGTGAAGTTCTGTAAATTCAGAATGCGATGTGATGTAGAAGACATCCGCAGTATTGAAATTCGAGGGGATGTCTTTATTCTCGAAACTCTCTTGATGAAGAGACAGGTTAGCTCTTTTCTGTTTGTCTAGCAGTCTGTCCGTTTCTAATCACTTTATTCTGTAACCTCTTCTCTCTCTGTGTCTGTCCCTCTCTCACACACACATTTCCAACATAGCTGTGGAAGTAAGGCTTTTTAATCTTTTCAGAAAAAACCTATTTGGGAAGGACTGCCGACAGGATTGCAAGTTGGAAGTTGGGTCACTGTGCGGGGCTTTCCTAAGAAAAACTGGACAAGGTTATATGGAATAGCTATGCAGAGAGACAGTTTTGCTTACTTAAAATATCATATTATTCATATAATTCTTTTAAAATGCTGTAAATTTTTGATAGGTTTGAGGTGAACTTTATGTGTAGCGGGGAGGAGGATGGGGATATAGCCCTCCATTTTAACCCCCGTAAAGACCAGGGTGAGGTGGTCAGGAACTCCAGATTGTCGGACGAGGAGGGGTGGGGGTCGGAGGAAACCGAGGCCCCCGAATTTCCGTTTGAGGCCAAAGACACATTTGAGATTGTTTTCCATGTTGGAGAGGACAAGTTTTTCGTAAGTTTAGAATTTTCAAAATATCTTTAAATAAGATGAAGAAAAAGAGTTGAAAATCAAATTCAGTCTGTCTTTTAAGAGTTTTTCTGGCAAGTAATTACACTGTAGTCAAATCTGTATGAACCAATTTTGGTTTACGTTCAAATTTTTATAATTATAATTGTTAAAAAAATTCCGTTGAATATATGTCAAGTTTTAAGGTCTTGATATATACATGTAAACAACCCTCAAATTTCCTTGATATATAACAGAAGTTGTATTACGTCATTACATTTATAGAGAAGACGACGATGTATATAGGCAATAAAAATTTTGCTGCCTCATTTAATCGGACACAATTTCGAGGGTATAGATTCAGTGAATCGATTCGTGGATAAAATCATTGTAACGTTTAGTAAAAAAAACTTCATTGGTCGTGACCCTCGAGATCCATGAACTTTGTCTTTAACGATCTTACGTGTACAAATAAATGATTTTACAGTAATACATGTAATTTGATTTTTGCAGACATTCCTGAATGGAAAGAATTTTATTGAATACAACCATCGCACGCCAATAGAGAGGATCTGCCATCTTTGTATAAGCGGAGACTGTAACTTCTTTGAGCCGGAAATTGTGTAGAGGGTGTCGGAATTGACGTTTTTTCTGTCAAATTAGTTACCAACGAATTCAATTTTTTTTCAGGATAAACATAGATTCATATGTGTTATAAGGGAAATAAACTTTTTGTTATAGTTTAAATTTCTTCATTACTGTAACTTTCAATACCCTTATAAAAGAATCAAGCGTATAATCATTTGAAGGCATGAAGTAGTATAGTAATACTTGTAATTTTTTTCTTTTTCTGTTCCTAAATTGGATAATTTTTCTTTGTAAATACTCGAAGATTATTTGATGTACTCATTGAAATTGTGGATATAAGTCGGAAGAGGCTTAAATACGTTATTTTAAGAGAAAAATACTCCAAACTGTTTATGCATTACTGCGACAATCGTAATTTTTTAATTTTTGAGATTTACCAACGATTTATCATTTACTGTGCATTTGTTTATTTTCAGCAACTTTAACTGTTTAGCTAGTCTTTTACGTAAGATATATTCTGTTAAATATTTTTCAAAGGTTAAAATGTGTGTTTAAATATTTTCTGTTGCTTTTTATTTCCTTAGATTAAATAAATATTAAATAATTTTGTTGTTGCATTTAATTGGAAATGTCCTTTGATAACATCTGGAGCAGTTATACTAGTAGAAAAATTGGTGAAAAAATTAATATCAGATTAATGTCGAAATACATTTATGTATGAATACATTACTTGTTCGCAGTGATCTTTAGATCTTGCGTTGTAATTCAAGTTTAGCTAATCGTGTGGTGGGGTTGTTGCATTGTCATTATTAACATGATTGGTTGATTAATTGATTGTATATTGTTTTACGTCCCACTCGAGAATTTTTCTCACTCATAGAGACGTCACTGTTTGTACTTGTAAAGGGCTTCAAAGAAAGAGGGCGTATAAGGCGTGTACAATCCCCCGCTCTGAGACAAAATGTTTCTCAATTCTCAAAATTCACGGAAAGTTATGTTTTTCTAAAATCATGTTCTCAGTAATGTCATCTTCAAAACATTCTATTATTTTATTTTACTGAACGACTTATCATTGGATAATCTAAATTTCAAAGTTGACAGTTAAGCTTATTTAGTGGAGAATGGGTTTAGTCTCCATTCTTCGTTAACGCTTAAATGATGAAAATGTAACTGTGAAATCTATTTCATTTGTCCAAAAAATGGAATCTGAACCCATTCTATATGAAAATCGAACTGTTCTGAAAAAAAATTACGCTTCAACAAACCCGTTCATTTAAATCACAGTGAAAGACCTCAATAATGCAAATACTTCGTAACGTAGTGGTTAAAGCGGTTGGTCTTGGACCAAATCTGCGCTATGGAGAGAGTTCGAATCACTCTTAAAGCTTTTTCTTTTTTGTTTTCAAATCTTTTAAAACATGAAGTGAAAAATAAATTATTGATAAATTATTTAAACGACGAAATACAAAATTTGATGTGAAAATATGATATAAACCATAAAATTTTGAAAAAATACTACTTTTAGAATTGAGAAAAATCTTTTTTTTCAGAGCGGGGGATTGTCCTCGCCTTGTACGCCTCCATTCTTTAGAATTTTACTCGGAACGCAGAGCATGATGTCCATAAAATTATAATGGGAATGTTCTAAAAATCGGGTGTACCATTTTTTTATTTCAATAAACTTGTAGTTTTATTTCGTAACAATTCAAGAATTCTCACACGAATATAAGAAATTGTGCCTAAAATGTTTTACCTTTTGCTTTGTTTTCTCCGGATATATAGATTTTTTTAAAATTTAGGTGGGCACAAAAACAAAGGGAAAAAGATTGGAAGTTATACAGTAGGTATTTTTCTCGTACATAAAAAAAAATCAAAATCCAAGCGGTACATGTATGCACATCTCTGAATTATAGTGTTTGCAGAAATTATTGTGATTTATAACGATGCATGTATCTAAATTGAGATAATATTGGATAGATTTTTAAGTGTCTAGCTTAGATCTATCAACTCTTTCCTTGTTCCGAACTCGGCCGTATCCATTTAAACAAAAAAAAAATATTTTGTTCCACATTAATCAACAATGGACAGTCGGATACTCAGTCTTCAAGAATTATGTCGACAAAATAGATTAACAATGATTGGCAGTTTTGTCATGGCTTTATTGATTAATTAATAGTCAAAATGAATCACCATTCATCAGTACAATGATTTACACAAGGTGTACACAAGGAATCAATACAATGATGTACACAAGGTATCAATGCAATGATGTACATAGGCGTAGTCACAGGGGGGGGCAGCGGGGGCACAAGCCCCCCCCCCCACACTTTCAGATCGGGGGGGGGGGGGGGCAAGAGTATGTCTGTACCCCCCCCCCCCCACTTTTTAATGAAGAACAAAATCACAGCTATTTTGAAATAATATTAAACTTAATTTATGGCATTTTTCTTTGCAACTAAGTAACATCTGGTCAAAAAACTTTATTTATTTGCTGTATCCACATTTAAAAATATTTTGTTTCACATCAGTCACTAAGTAAGTTTTGTCTGGAAAACCCGAATATATTAATGATTTAATATTTGGTTACTGATTCATTTAGAAATTCAGTTATAAAAATTTATTTTTTTACCATTTTAGGTACTATAGTGTTCTAGTTCAGAATTGCTTGAAAATCTCATCAAAATAATTAGATTCTTCATCCAAATTACAATTTGGGAACGTTATATCTTAACACAATTGAATAGTGGTTGGATTATTTGGGCACTAAGTTACAACCTAAAAAATTATACATACCAGTGTAAAACAATGTCACTTGATGTCATTAAATACGTCTTAAAATATTTGCAAAACTTAAGAATTGGGGAGCTAATAAACCTTGTAGATACTTTAACTTTGGTAGCAAAAAAACGTTCTTATATAAACACCACTTAATCTACATATAAAAAATCATTTTTTATAATTTTTATTTGTGGATAGAGTACTCCCATTAACCTTATATATGTACTGTTGACATTTGTATATATTGTGGGAAGCCCTAAGTAATTTTCCCGGTTTTGTTATTTTGTTCATGTCATATTTTTCTTTTTTTTTTTCCTTTTATACATTTTTATGACTTTTTCTGTGTTTTTTTTCTCTCATTAGCTTTGATTGTGAATCATTTTTCATTATTGATTATCATGTTCATGTATTATTTTAGTAATTTCTATCTTTTGGAGAGGGCATTTGTGTTGCCCAATCCTGATTGAATTATATTCACATAAAGTTGTTATATATGTACCTTGAATGTAATATAGTAATTAAATCTAAATCTTGGGTAAGTTTGGGAAGTATGATGTAATATTATTAACGACAACACCCTTGTGAATAAAATATTGTTTAAATTAACATTAAGTAAGTTTTGTCAAACCACCCAATTTTTAATTATTTAATTTTGCTGATTCATTTACATTCTTTTATTTTTACATATAGGTACTATAGAGAATTCTAGTCAATCAAAATCTCATCAAAATAATTAATTTCTACAAATTACATTGGCGTCGGAAACAAATTGAAAGTGGTTGGGGGCGCTAAGTTAAAAAAAATTATACATACCTGACAAGCAAAAAAAAATGTCTATTTCCCAAACACGAAAATCCTATTTCGTGGAGGGGGTAGGGGGTAGGTTCGAACTTCAGTACCAAAAAAATATTCTTCCAACCACCACCACTTTCCCCCATTTTAACCTGACTAAGACGTCTCTGTGGAAAGTGGGGGGGGGGGGGGCTTGAGTTAATGTCTATACAAAGTATATATTTGGGGAAAGTCGGGGAGCGAAGCGCCCCCCCCCCCCGGTTCCGACGCCTATGAAATAGCTGCAGCATTGGAGATTTTTTTGCCTGTAATCAAAGAAATCCTCTCATTCAGCTTAGACAGTAGGATATCACTTTAGCTAAGTTGGTGACTACACCCTCTTTTTAAAGTATAATTTATGCCATACTTTGAAACTAACCAATGCCACTATTTTTTCTCCGGTTTTTATTTTAATTACACGATCAAGAGCCTAGGGGCTTCGGCACCTTTTAAAGTGTGATAATTAACTATGACAGTGATTTCCTGGATAAAATTAAGACTTTGGAATTGGGGGTTTGAGGGTTGACAATTTATACATAGAATAGTACAGAAAACTTTTGTAAGTTGGTGATCACTCTGATGATTTATGCATAACGGGCTTCGCGCCCGTTATCGAAATGTCATGTTTCTAACTATTGTTGATGCCCTGGCATACTATACTAACTAGACAGTGATTCCTTAAATATTTTTATATATTTGTATGGTTTTATATATTGTCTTTGACCATAACGCTAAGATCCCGTAGTGCAAAAAAGGTTCAATTTACGGCCAATTTTTTTGCGCTCTTTTGGGGGAAATTTTTCTCCACTTTTATGGAAGGGAATTACCGCCAAAAGTTAGTATCTTGCTTTTATTCTTATTCTGCCTACTTTTTTATGCTTTGTTATTATTGTAATTATATGTCACTTTATTCTTTTCACATTCGTCTTTATTACATTTCACTTTGACTTTTATCCTTCTTCATTTCGTCCTTACTTCTTTGTTGCTTTATTCTTGTAAATTCCTTCTAATTTGTTTGAATTAAACAGTTTCTTAAATAAATTATTCAATCCTCAAACAATGAAGCATATTCAATGAAGACGAATGGAAGTTGTCAAACCGTCAAAATTTAGTGCGGCATTATAACGCTAGGTGGTGTGGTGTTCGCTACGAGTGTTGGTAAAACTAGGTAACCAAACCCGGGTCGGGATAGAATTTGAGATTCTTCAATGCCCAGTATTTTATTATCAATCGAACTTCTAAAGGGCCCATCCAATAATCAATCCAATAAATGGAAACTCCATATTTATTTTATCTGGGCACACATGAATAGCGGCCTTTTTTTTCAGACATAACTTTATACTATACTGAATATGTTCATTGAAAAGCCGACCCACTTTTTGTAAGAGTAAGGGTCAATTAAGTTAATGTAGTACGTATAGTAGGAAAAAAAATTTAATTTGATTCTATAGAGGAAGTTGAATCTAACCCAAAACTCACCCCGCCTTGAAATAGGATATCATTGGCATCGGAAGCAAATTGAAAGTGTGTGTGTGTGGGGGGGATATTAAATATTCAATTTCGTGGGGAAGGGGGGTAGATTCGAACTCCAGTTCCAAATTTTTTTTTTTTCATACACCACCACTTTCCCCATTTTAAACCTATACTGCATCGTGTCCATGGCAAGTGGGGAGGAGGGGGGTCTAAACCTATGCAGGAACCCTGTCTAAGTCTATTCTAAAAAAAATGGGGGCTGCCCCCCCCCCCTCCACGGTTCCACCCTAGTATGTTTTCAATTTTGGACAATTTCCAGGTTTTTTTTGCGCTTGTCAATTTTTTCAGCCCGGTACTTTTTTTTTCTCTTGTTGCCTCCTTCCCACTTTCAAAAACGTACAATGCTACGTCTCTGTTCTCTCGCCTGAAAAATATAACTCTATTAAAGTTAATTATTTGTTGGATAATTGAATTCCAGTTTAATTGGTATAAAAATGTTCAATATTTTGATACTAGTTAACCCTCA